GAACAAAACATGACAACATCCCTAAAATCCAAACAGCAAAACCCTACTGGGCAAAAGGTGCTCGCATTCCGCCGTTATTCATATAAGTGTCCTGTGTTGGCTCTGGTTTAAATATCACACCATCTGCATCCGCTGCACGTTACAGCAGTTTGGGCGACCAACCTGCAGTACTCCCGTCAATGGTGCGGTTGAAGGGTCTTCTGGGTGCGGCTGTTTGTTGAGGAATGCTTCTTGTCGATCCTCATGCAAGCATTCTCTCCGTTCCTGATGCCCGGACCCTGGATTCACTTCTTTGGCTAATTTAAGGTCACGATAAGCAAAGGGCTTTGTCAAATCACAACACGGTTGTTTGGTTCATTGCTGACGGGTTTCGGAATGGACTCATCCAGAGTCATTCAAATCCAGCACTGGCCATGCAACAAAGGCACAAATGTTAGGTTCCGGATGTGGTCTGAACCCAAAGCACTGGGTGCAAAAGAATTGGCGGATTGAAAATTTAAACCTGAGAAGGGAGGGGACGAAAGCCAGACCCCCCCAGCATATGTGTGACGGGACCTGTAGCGTCATCGCATTTTCACACTCGCTGCAGATGTGGCGGCGAGCTACGTCAGGACTGACAGTGAATTCGCACGCGAAGGTCTTTGGGTGAGCGCATTTTTGGTGTTCCGCTGCTCTGTTCTACTGCATGTGTGCACCTTGACTTAAATTAAACGTGCCATTGGCCAGTACAAATTGTATTATGCTTCATGATGAACGAACATCTTGGTCGAGGCATGTCATTGCCGCTCTGTCCCAGCTTCACTCGGCAGCGACCGGCTTGCACTATGGATGCATGAGTTGACGAGGCTGCATCCCTGATGAAATCGTTGGCCAAACGGCCAGTGGACCCTTCTTCCTGCTTCTTTCCTTCTTTTTCGTTCTTTTCCCCTTCTTCCTGTCTTTTCCTTCTTCTTGCCTATTCCTGCCGCCTCCTCTAAAGCTAAATGTAGATACGAGAAAGCAGCAAACACTCACAACGTGTCAATTCCAGTACCGGACTTTCCTGCATCTTACATGACCCTTCTTCTACCTTCTTTCCCTCTTCCTCGTTCTTTTACATTTCTTCTTCTTCTTCTTCTTGCTACCCATGACCCATGCCATTGCATCCTTTACATCATGACAGCCCCCCTCTAATTGCATCACTTGCATCCACAACCTCCTCAAAACTTACAACTTGCCTCAATTTTTGTCCACCCACTTTTGGCCGGTTTTCCCCAATAAATTCTGATTTTTGACCTTCCAAAACTATCCATTTTGCAACGCCCCTCCCCCCCCAGACCCCCAAATACTCACTTTGTTCGCTATTCAGATCTTCAGCCTAGCCGACGGCTGGCTTTCGTAACAATGACCTGTTTCCATCTGTTTCCACTGGCGGGTGGGAACAACAGCAAAAAGCGATAGCCCTGCAACAAGAAGCAACGAAAAACACAAGAACCAAAAGTCATAGTCTTTCCGCACTTGTCAAACATGATGCCACAAAATCAATGCATTAATGATGCCATTTTACCTGCCAGCATGGCATCAAAATATGGAACCAGTGGCAGGTTTGATGGCAGGACAGCTGTCAGAGCACATGCCAAAACAAATGTCAAAGCACATTTCCCAAAATATGCCAGCTATGCCAGATTTATTTTAATGTGAGAGCACATGTCAAAAGTACATGCCAAATGATGTGTCAGAACACATGACGGCAGAACAAATGCCAAAACACACGCTTGAAAGGATGTAAGAACACATGCCAGAATTGATCAAGACAAATGTTAGAACATTGTGTCAGCGGAAGTGTCAGGCAGTTAGCCCTCAGGATAGTCTGTCAATATATGTGCACCGCCTTCTTCCAAATCGCCTCCCAGGGTGGAGATCACTCAAAGTAAAGCGATTTGATGCATATGTCGAGCATCAAAAGAAACACAACAACAACAACAACAACAACAACAACAACAACAACAACAACAAC